AACGCAACGGCGGCGATATTATCTTGCTCGTATGCTGTTTGCCACCGTGTGACGTTTCGAACGATCAGTCATGTCGAGATTTGTTTCGCGAAAATCGAGACAAAAACGAAACGCCTTTCTTAACCTGGAGACATTCTTCCAAGATCAGGTCGTGACCACGTGATATTTTTGACAAAATTCACGCCAAATTTATCTTGACTGTGTAATTTGAAATTCGAAACTGCACTCGGCAATAGATATCGCTGGCAGCGTTTCTAATTCCATTATAGTAGCGTAATATTAATGGAAAAGGAGTTCGCTTGGATCAAAATGGATCGAGCATTCGAGCATTCAAAGAGTCGAGTTTTTCTCTTTTGTGACTGATACGCCAAGATGCTTGGATAAGATCACAGAAAACAAAAGTATTCTTCTCTTTGTTTTTATTGACATATTGATTGTCACATTATATGCCATATTTTATTTATGCATAAATAGTGCTCGTTATTTTTAAAAAACGTCATTCGAATAATATCAAATTTTCACAATTTTTATAATAATATTTTATTTTGCAAAAGATGACATATTTGATTTCCAAAAATTTTTTCATCGCATAAATGGCATCAATGTGTTGATACATTTACATAAAAGCTAAATTTAAAATAAATATAGTAAAATGTAATGTTTTAAGATTGTCAAATGTGTCTATCAAATCTATTCGATTTGAAATTTCCTAATAATTTAAATTTAAATTCGAATCGAATCAAATTGAGTTTTACTTGAATTTGAATAATTCGCATATCATTGTTACACAATGAGAGAAATATGGGACAAGGAATTAAACAGAAATTTGAAATAGAGAATTAAATTTTGACATATAGAAAATGCTTGTGTTTGTTCTATACTAAAGTAATTCCTTTATTATAAACTATAGCATGGGTGTCGAAATTTAATTGTCTATTAATTTTCTTTGTTTAATTCCTTGTTGCTTATTCTTTTCATTATGTCTATGCTCTTATTCGTCAAAAATTCCAATCTCGTTATCGAGCGCGGCAAGAAGATTGATCAACGCATTTATTGACTGACGGGGGATGTAATACAATCGGTAATAGATACGAAGGAAGAGAGATAAACACGTATCGATATGTTTCTCGCGGTCGAAACTCGCGGCTGCGCGAAAATCAGCGTTCTGAATTCGAATTCGCGATTTCTCTTCCATTCCGACAGAAGAGTCAGAAGGATACACGCGGATACGGGGGAGTTTTGCTTCTATACACCGTCTTCTCCACCGAGTTTATTAAAGCCCCGTGCAGCTGTAGCTGAATTATCGCTGGAGTTTCCTGTTTCAACCTCGCGGCAAAAAGCACGCTGCGGGAACGAAACAATTTGACCGCCTTATTCGAATTTACTTTTCTCCCACGCGCGTCCCGCGCGCTCGTATCTGCGTCGTAACTTTCCTCGGAGAGGTAAGAGAGGGAGGCCGCGCCATTACCCCCGTAGCTAATGTACCCTCGCAACGATCATTATGTAAATTCAAGTGTGATAGAGCGTCCCGTCGGGCTATAATGTGAGCGAAACTTTTTCACGGAAGCTAATCAATTTATTTATCGTACAACCGATGTCCACCGTTGAGATGGTACAAATATCAAGGATGTCATTGGAAGGGTTGTTAAATTTTTAAAGGGGAAAAAATAAGAGGTGCCTGTCATTTGCCTACGCGTTTTTTGCTACAAATTTTTTCTCGGCAAAAAGAATATCATCGAACAGTTCACGTTCAGATCAGCTTAGATCGACATGTAATTTAAAATATAGAAATTTGCTTATTCTTCTGCCCTTCCTCTATGTTTTATATATATATATATATGTGTGTGTGTGTGTGTGTGTGTGTGTGTGTGTGTGTGTGTGTGTGTGTGTGTGTGTGTGTGTGTGTGTGTGTGTGTGTGTGTGTGTGTGTGTGTGTGTTAGTTAGTTA